GGGAGGGAGGGAGACGCAGGAGGGAAGAGATGTGGGAACATATGTATATGTATAACTGATTCACTTTGTTATAAAGCAGAAACTAACACACCATTGTAAAGCAATTATACTCCAATAGAGATGTAAAAAAAAAAAAAGAAAGAAATGGGGTTGTCACGCCGACCTCAGGTGAGACTGGGCACCACCGAGAGGGAGGAGGGGAACGTCCCAAGAACGGTTACACCGCGGGGAGCCCTGAGCCATGGAAACTGGGGCGGCAGGAGTGAGGGTTGCCCCGACAGAGGCCAGCGGGCGGCAGCGGCTGCACCGCAGGGTCAGGCAGCTTCAGGGACAACGCCAGCATCCTGACTCAGTGTGGGCAGGTGGCTCTGGAGCCCCTGGGGCAGGCGCCCTGGCAGTGGTCAGTTCTTGTCTGGCACAGACAAGAGTGAGTGAGTCAGAGTGAGTCCCAGGGTGGCCCAGGCTGCCCAGCGGGAGCGGCCCTGGTGGAAGCCCCCCTGCCCCCCATGGTGCTTTCTCATCTTGGATTTAGTGAGGAATGAGTGAACCAGTGGATGAGGGAAGGAACCCGTCTCATGGAGATGGAGGAACCCATGTGGTGGGCTGGGGGGCCGTGGGGCACCCTGACCGCTGACTGTGGCTCTCAGCTCCGCCTGGACGGGCACGGATGCTTCCTGAGCTCAGCCTGAGGGGCCCGAGCTCCCGCCCGGCAGAGAGAGCTTAGAGAGTCACCTTGGGGAGTGAGGCCAGCCTAGCAGGGGCCTGCCCACGGCCACTGGCCCCACAGCACCGGGCAAGGGGCAGGGAGGGCAGTGAAGCTGCTGTAATAACAGCGTCACTCGTCACCACCAGCCCCTTAGCATCCTCGGGCCCGGTGCCAGCCCCCCGCACACGCCCAGAGTCCCCCAGGGTGGTGGGGCTCCTACCACAGACCCGGCACTTACATTGGACCTTGAACACAGCGGGGGTCTCGGTTTTTTCTGCGCTGATTTTCTCCGTAACACACCCATCTTTCTCCCTGAAAGGCAGGCGCTTCCTGAGCCACATGCACAGACCATGCACAGCTGATCAGGCCAAACCGTGGGCCAGGGTGGAAGCTGGCCCCAGGAGAGGCCCGAGCCAGGGGGGCGGGGCATTGGAGCCCAGCTGGCCACCCAGGCCTTGGCTGTGCTCACAGTAACCTCTAGGGCCACGGGTGACCAGCTTGGATGGGTGACAAGAGGTCAGACGGAGTGAGGGAGAAAAGGGCTGGGAGCGGCCAGGCCCCGCGGTCAGGGGCAATGACCTGCACCTGCAGACAATCCTGGGGTTCGGGTCCCCATCTCTGTACCCCACCCCCGCTCCGAGGGCAGATGGGGCTCTCCCCACTCTGCATTGTCTCTGTGACATCCCGTTCATCTGAGCTATTGAAGTGTTCAGACTAGAAAAGATGCAGAACGTCTCCCCGTTGCTCAAGTACATTCGTAATCCTTAACCTAACACAGAATCAAAATAACTGCCCGAATGTACATATCTTTCCTACGTATTTCCACTTCAGTGGATTTTATCTCCCTTTCCAAGTTAACTAAAATGATGTTTTATGTTCATTTATTTTATTATGTTCCAAAGCATCAAATTAATAAAAGTTAAAAAAAAAAAAAAAAGCCCTGGGGGGGGCTCCGGGG